CCCATCGTTTTTCCTTCAAAGGTTCTTCTTAAATCGTTTTTTTTTTTCTTTTTTTCTTCTTCCTTATCCCTCCCGACCGAAAGAAAACCCTCCGAAAATTGCAAGCGCATAAAAATAACACTGCATTGTGTTCGCGCAGCGCTCAGCATGGATACCCAGGGTCTGTCTGCTTCCTTCTCCCTGAAGGAGCCTCCGTTGGTTGCTAAGGGGACCTGGATCCAAGAAGTCTTGCCCTTTGCCCCTTCTTAGGTTGATTGACTGACGAAGGGCTTCCAAACCGCAGCTGTAATTTTTTTTCTTTATTATTGACCCTTTGGCTGGAAAATTGAAGACGACATTTAAAAGGGGCCATGTATTATACTCGGCCGTTAATGAATGGAGGCTGAGGCGCATTGTACTGTGGCGTGGGGGTGGGGGGGGGTTTAGGCCAGTCGGTGCGTCAAGGACAAAGCTTTAGGGGGCTGGGGGTCTTCCAACGCAGCCGTCTAGCCCTCATTGCATGCTCCAGTACGTACACAAGATTATTGTGCAACCGTTTGATTGCATGGAGTCTTTTACCCCCGGGCACGACTTTCAATGTGTCTTACTGACATAATTCCAGTGATTGAGTGAGTGGCTTAGAGTTCAAACCCAAACCTCGAGAGACTAGTTCCCCCTGTTCCCCTGTTCCCTCCCCCCCACACCCCCATTCCCCAAACTCATGTTTAGAATTGTCAGCCTCCACCTGATGAGGTGTGGGTTTATCCATCTCTTTTCCCTCCCCCCATCATTTCTCCCCCGCGCCCCCACACACAACGTGAGCCCCTCAGAACATTTGTTCTCCACCTGGTGGGTGGTTAGTAGGGCGAGGTGGGGTGAAGGATGGAGGGAGAACACATTGCCTTCATATATGGTCAATTCACAATGGCTTTAGACATCATAGGAACAGGAGGAGGCCATTCAGCGCCTCGAACCTGTGTTGCCATTCTATTAGATGTGGACGTCAACACCAATAACCCACATTTGCCCCATATCCTTTGATGCTCTGACCCACCAAACCTGAACCCACCTCAGACCTCAGTCTGGAATTTTTTTTTGTTTTTTTCACCTGGTCTTTTCAGGCTGCTTTTGGCTCAGCGTCGAACAACGCTGTTGTGAAGTGCTCTGAGACACCGCCCTACATGTATAAATGCAACTTGTTGTTGTTGTACGGCTGATCTTGGGCTTGGGCGTAACAAGAGAGAGAGAGAGAGGAAATCTATTTCTCCGTAGTGTTGGCTATTGGCATTGGGGTCTGTCCCCATTCGAACGCTATAAACTAGGACATTAACAGTTACTTAACTACTCTGTAAAGAAAACACCAAAAACATCTCCATTTTTAGCCATTGTCGCGTGGAGACTCTATTGTTGTTTACTTGTGGGATATATTCAGCGCTCAGCGTTTTGTGAAGCCATATCACTGAATATTTATCACTGTCCTTTGCGACGAAAGCTATACTGATCACGTATTATTATCATTCTCCCACACGCGAGCAGTTTTATATTCTACAGTCGTTCACGCAAACCTGAAGCTCTCAATGGAGGTTCAGAATATCTCTCCCTTTTAATCTCTGAAGCCAAAGTTAGTGCTGAAACCTTTCATTGTTGCTAATTTGAGCAAGTTGGTTGTGATGAAAATAATAACCATAAATTGACACAGCGCCTTATCATGTCGTCGAGACGTCTCACAAAGCACTTCACAGGATATACAGTAAAGTGAATTGACTCGTATGTTTTACGGGCGTAACAGAGCGGAGAGTGAGAGCCCTGCTGCTAAGCCAAGCTGGTTAGTTAAACCAGCTAGCGGCTTAGTTAAACGTGGTCAAAACTTGGCAAAGTGCACCATAACCTTCTCACAGTGACAATGTGAAGTTATTGTACTGTGAGCTGAGAGATTAAACGTGGAGGTATTTTTTTTTGAAGAACCCTTTGGTTGACTGAGAAAGAAAGAGAACGAGAGAGAGAGAGAGAGAGTGCCTCATTCCCAGGCGATGGAATCCCACCCCCCAGCCCAGCTAACAAAACCCTGCTGTCTCCGTCTGACCTCTTCAGCAAAGTAGATGTGTGCTATTGCGTTGCTGAGTAAGCCATGAAGAATAAATCAATCCTCAGGGACTCGGGGAAGACAAACAGCTATGTAAATGCTTTCTCAGAAGAACAATCCCGGCCTTTCACTTTGTAAATGATTGCAAAATTATTCATGCAATAGGTATTTTCTGGCGAGAGGTCCGTCTCAGAGCGAGCAGTGAATGGCTGTGAGTTTTGTGGATCGCAGTTTATGCAGCAATTAGGAGCCGAGCAATAATGGACGTGAAGGTGTGCCTTAATCTTTGCTAACGCATTCCTAATTAATTTGGGCACTGGGAACAGCAGATTGCCAGCACTCTCTCTCTCTTTTTCTCTCTCCCAACCCCCCTGTCTGTCTGTCTCCCCCCACAAAACTTTCTCGGCGCCCTTTTTGGAAGGCTCTGGCTCATGTTGTAAGCGCTCACCTGCCTCTGTGCCTCATCCAAGCGACCGCACTACATGCCTAGACTGTCTGTCTGTGTGTGTGTGGGGGGTGGGAGGGGGGGCGGTGGCGGTGGCGAGGTGGGGGGAGAGGAAATCACAGTCGGGCTCAATCATGTCCTCACTGACTATTAAACTCCCTCCACCACCCCTTTCATCTCCCCCCACTCCCCCCCCCCCCCCACGAGTTCAAGGTCCAATTTATCTGGTTGTGTCACTGGCTGAGATCAAACCTGGAGCCCCCTCACCCAAGATGGTATTTCTCGTCTCCTCTCTGCCCTTTTGCACTCACGCCGCCCCCCCCCACCCCCCCCCGAGCCTCTTCTTGGTTTCCAGCGTTGTTCTTGCCCAGCACAGGGTGGATGGCTATAGCCTGATGCCCTGCCTGTCTCTGCTGTGAATGGCACCGTCTGGGATATTAACACAGACTACTGTGTCACTGTCGCGTGTCGCACACCAGGGTGACGTCCTGCAGCTCAGTGGTTAGAGCGCAAGCGAGAGGACCTGGGTTCGAATCCCAGGCAGAGCGAAATGTTGGGCAAGTTTCATTACTCCACCCGCCTCTGTTTACCCAGCAGTAAATAGGAACCCAGTTGTTAGTCGATTGGTGGATCGCTTTTCCGCCAGTAATAATTTCTTCAAAAAAAATAAATAATAACAATAATAATAAATTGGTCACTTCAATCCACGCCTGTTTGTGGGACGCTGCTGTGTGCGTTTGGCCGACAAAATATGCAGTGTATCCTGTGAAGCGCTTTGATGTGACTGATCAGTCCCTGATGATGTAAACAGGTGGGCATTAGTGACCCTGTTGGTGGGTGGGGGTGTGGGCGGGAGGGCGGGGAAAGGGGAGAATTAACCATGAGTAAAATTGGCGCAGAATTTTATTTAATTACTCTGGTATTCTCGATAAGAATAATCATTATTATGTTGCAATTCTTTATATGAAAAAAAATCATTCTCCCCGAACCTGTAATTGCATAAAAGGCACCAGGAACCAGCTCTGTTTTAATTTAGTTTCCATTCCCTGCGTTGTATTTACTGGAGCTTAAATAACAACAACAACAAGATTTCATTTATAAGGCGTCTTCCCTTAACGGGATGGGGTCGTGGCAGCTCATGGGTCGGGTCGGGCGATCCTGGGAATGGGTCCTGATGTACGCAGAACAGTTAGTGAGTCGCTACCCCACACTATTATCCTGCAAAGTTGCGTCTCAGAGCGCCTATTAATGGCAAGTTATTGTCTCCCTCAAAAAGCATGTCTCAAGACCCTTCTCTTCGACTGCGCATTCAATCACCCTCACACCCCCATACTCCTTGCAATCCACAGAGCACAGGGGGTGCTGTTAGAGGAGGCTGGCATTGGGCTGGCACTGCCATTGTGGGCAAGCACCTGGCCTGCTTTAGCACTCCTGATATGCTACCCCTGCCTGAAGGGCGCTGTAAAAATACTCCTCCTTGTTTGGTGGGCACAGGGTGGCAGTGCTCAGAAAGCGGCATATTTGTGTGGACATCCGTCTGTGATGGAGAAGTCCTGCCTGTGACCCATCCCAGCTCAGCCCCAGCCCACCCCACCCCAAGCCCAGCCCCAGCCCAGCTCAGCTCAGCCCCAGCCCACCCCACCCCAAACCCAGCCCCAGCTCAGCTCAGCCCCAGCCCACCCCACCCCACGCTCAGCTCAGCCCAGCTCAGCCACAGCTACAGCTTAGGCTGTGACGTCACATCTATTTGCTCAACCTAAGCCCCTTAAAAAACAGGGATTGACTCAGATCCCAGATCCCGAGCCGGAGGTGTTGGCAGAGAGCAGAGGGGAGACGCAAGGGAAACGCCAAAGAGAGCAACGAGGTTCTTAAGCCGTGAACCTCTTCAATGGGGAAACGGCTCCAGTTCTGATTAATACTGATAAATAATAATAATAATAATAATAATAATAGTAATAATCATCACTGGATTTAATAAAGCGTCTGTAATAACAGTAACAATCCCGTTTTAATGTAGTCCCTTTCATGTCGGGAGGACGTCCCAAAGCTGCTGAAATGTCAATGTCAATGTAATGTCAAAACATCGCAAAGCACTTCACGAAGCATTGCTGTCGAGTGTAGTGACTTGACTGTGTGTTGTTTGTTGACAAAATCATCCCAATTTATGGACGCGCACAGCCATGAAGTCAATGATCGGTTTTATCTGAGGGATTGTTGGCTGGGACGGTGGTGGAGGGGAGGGGTGTGGGTGTGGGGGGGGGGGTTGTTGTACAAGGTTTGTTTCAAAATACACACAGTAACACTACACCTCACTACAGCACATCTTGTGAAGCTTTTTGAGATGTTCTCTCGACACGAAAGGTGCGACGTCAAGTTTAAGGATTATTGCTATGATTATCGTTAATAATAACAATGCAAGTTTTGGAAGGGGGAACAAATGGTCGCCAAAAAATTTAACTTTGATTTTTTTTCCCCCCCTCCTCCCCAAAACAGGTAGATGACGCTATGTTGATGTTTGACAAGACAACCAATCGGCATCGAGGTAAGTCGTATCTTCACCCCCAAAGTACACAGTCGCTACACTTTACTGTATATCCTGTGAAGCGCTTCGAGACGTCTCGAAGACGTGATCAGGCGCTGTATCAAATGCAAATTATATTATTATTATTTTGGTCTCCCGGTTGCTTGCACCATCCACGCAGTCTCGCTGGCTGGGTCTGGGTTTTTATAAGAACCGCAGGTAAAGTGAATGTTCCGTGTGACCCACCACCACCCCCGGCCTCTCATCACATTGAGAATTCTTCCTCTCCGAAGATAAGAGTCCTGTAGGTCAGTGGCTCGAGCCCTCGCCACACAAGCGAGTGGGGGAGCTGGGTTCGATTCCCGGCAGGGCGAAACCTTGGGCAAGTTTCCTTACCCCAAAGGCCTCTGTTTATTTACCAGCAGTCAGTAGGAATCCGGTTGTTAGTCAATTGGCGGATCACTTTTCCAGGGGTAATAATCCCTTCAAAAAAATAGTAATAATAAATTGGTCACTTCAATCCACGACTGTTTGTGGGGACATTGCTGTGCGCAATTGGCTGCCGCGTTTCGCCCACAAATATACAGTCAATTCAATTCACAGTGTGTTCTGTGAAGTGCTTTGAGACATCTTAAGCGTTTTAAATGCTCCAGGACTCTACCGACAAGGGCCAGACAATGGCGCTCCATCAAATGCAACGAGTATTATATTTTCAATTGTAATAAACCGCTTAAACGCGTTCAAATCAACATCAACGAAACGTTTATCTCTTAACTTTCATCTTAAACCTTAACAATGCGGAGCAAATAACAGACCAGCCCTTATCCCAGGGGATAATGGGGGAAATGGATGGTGGGGGTGTGTGTGTGTGTGTGCCTGTGTGTGAGTGTGTGTGTGTGCGTGTGTGTGTTGCGTGCTCCGGGACGCTACCCTGCCTGAGGGGCGCGATATAACTGCAAGTTCTTGTTGTTGCGTGGGTTCTGTCTGTGCGCTTCCGTGTGTGTACGTGTGAGCGTGCACGTATGCAAGCGTGTTGTTGTGTGCGTGCGCGTATGTCGCTGTGCCCGCGCGTGTGCGTTTGCGTGTGCTTCTGCACGTGCGTGCTTACGTACGTGCAAAGTTATCGTCAGGGCAGTTGAACAAGTGTTAAGGGTCTCCATCCCCACCGTTCCTGTGGTAACGAGACTCTCCATTATGTGTGCGGATCAGAAACACAGTGAAGAGGAGAGGCCGATCGAGAGCCGGCCCGGGCTGAGCCTCCGGGCCTCCCCGTCCCAGGTCACCAGTCCCATCAGCGGCTCCGTCCCCACCCCAGTCACTCGTGGCCACCGCCGCAAGATGGCTACCACGACACTCAAAATGGCCCCCGGGCCTGGCTGAGCCCACGATTGAACCGAAAGCGGACGTGAGGCCGCGGTGGCCCAGGCCCGGCCGCCGGTCAAGCTGATGAACCTCCATTCCGATTGAGATTGCCGGTGCCGTCGGGGCAGGAGGGACCCCCACGGAGGGACCCTTTGACGTCTCAAAGCGCTTCGCAGTGTTTGCTCCAAAATGGATCGACTGTGAGTTCTGGGGGCGAACCCAGCAGCCAGTTTGTGAACAGCCAGGAAGTGAGGGGCCAATTTTATTTGGGGGACTGTTGGCGAGGACACCGGGAGAGACGAGCTCCCTTCCCTTTCCGAATAGTGCCGCGCGCGTGTACATGTACGTGCAGATGTGCGTGTGCGTACGTCTAGGCTTTGTGAAGCTTTGCGCTGCCAATGTTCCGGAGCCCGGATTTCCCGTGGAATGCACGTAGCCTTCAGCAGGAGAGAGCCGTCCACACGTGACAGGCACTTGTGGAAACAGAATGTGCATGTTCTCCTTCGCTCGGTGTTAGAAGGTGCTGCCTGTGAGCCGGGACCACTCCTTTCCCCCTAACACCCCCACCCCCCACCACCACCCACACCCACCATCAACCCCCTGCCCCACCCCGTCGCACCCCCCCCCCCCCACCCGCCAGTGCCGCATCTCCACCCCGGTGCCAGTCCACAGACACTGTACGCGTGCGCGCCCGTGTTTGTGACACTGCGATGTGTACGTGTCACTGTATGTACGTTTGTGTCACTGTGTGTGTGTGTGTGTGTGTGTGTGTGCGCGGCACTGTGCGTGTGTCTGTATGTCACTGTGTGTGCATGTCACTTGTGTGTGCGTGTCTGAAGGTCACTGTGTGTGTTTGTATGTCACTGTGTGTGCGCGTGTGTCACTGTGTGTGTTTCTGTATGTCACTATGTGTGTACATGTCACTGTGTGTGTGTGCATGTGTCACTGTGTGTGTGTCTGTATGTCACTGTGTGTGCACGTGTGTCACTGTGTGGGATGCGTTTCACTGTGTGCGCATATTCGTGTGTGTGACTGTGTATGTTTTTGACGCAGTGGTTTTCACGTCGTGAGGACGTCTCAAAAGCGCTGAGTGGTTTGTGTGTGAAGCATTCTGTATTGACATCAGCCAGTGAGGGAGCTGCCTGTGTGTGTATGTGTGTGTGTGTGTAGGTGTGTGTGCGTGTAGTGTAGGTGTGTGTGCGCGTGTGTAGGTGTGTGTGCGCGTGTGTGGGTGCGTGTGTGCGCGCGTGTGTGCATGTGTGTGGGTGCGTGTGTATGTGCGTGCGTGTAGTGTGTGTGTGTGTGTGTTTACCTGTGTGTGTGGATGGGTGTGTGTGTGTGAGTAGTGTGTGTGTGTGGCTGCCTGTGTGTGTGGATGGGTGTGTGTGTGTGCGTGTAGTGTGTGTGTGTGGCTGCCTGTGTGTGTGGATGGGTGTGTGTGTAGTGTGTGCGTGTAGTGTGTGTGTGTGGCTGCGTGTGTGTGTGGGTGGTGTGTGTGTGTGTGCGTGTAGTGTGTGTGTGTGGCTGCCTGTGTGTGTGGATGGGTGTGTGTGTAGTGTAGTGTGTGTGTGTGGCTGCGTGTGTGTGTGGATGGGTGTGTGTGTGTGTGTAGTGTGTGTGTGTGGATGGGTGTGTGTGTGTGTGTGCGTGTAGTGTGTGTGTGTGGCTGCGTGTGTGTGTGGATGGGTGTGTGTGTGTGTGTGCGTGTAGTGTGTGTGTGTGGCTGCCTGTGTGTGTGGATGGGTGTGTGTGTGTGTGTAGTGTGTGTGTGGTGTGTGGTGTGTGGGTGGTGTGTGTGTGTGGGTGGGTGGTGTGTGTGGGGGTGTGTGTGTAGTGTGTGCGTGTAGTGTGTGTGTGTGGTGGCTGTGTGTGTGGATGGGTGTGTGTGTGTGGTGTAGTGTGTGCGAGACTGTGTGTGTAGAGTGTGTGTGTGTGTGTGTGTGTAGTGTGTGCGTGTAGTGTGTGTGTGTGGCTGCCTGTGTGTGTGGATGGGTGTGTGTGTGTGTGTGTGTGTGTGCGTGTAGTGTGTGTGTGTGGCTGCCTGTGTGTGTGGATGGGTGTGTGTGTGTGTGTGTGTGTGGGTGCGTGTGTGTGGGTGCGTGTGTGTGTGGATGGGTGTGTGTGTGTGTGTGTGCGTGTAGTGTGTGTGTGTGGCTGCGTGTGTGTGTGGATGGGTGTGTGTGTGTGTGTGTGTGTGGCTGCCTGTGTGTGTGGATGGGTGTGTGTGTGTGTGTGCGTGTAGTGTGTGTGTGGATGGGTGTGTGTGTGGATGGGTGTGTGTGTGTGTGTGTGTGGCTGCCTGTGTGTGTGGATGGGTGTGTGTGTGCGTGTAGTGTGTGTGTGTGGGTGCCTGTGTGTGTGGATGGGTGTGTGTGTGTGTGTGTGTGCGTGTAGTGTGTGTGTGTGGGTGCGTGTGTGTGTGGATGGGTGTGTGTGTGTAAAATCATTTGTTCCAAACTGCGATGTGGTCGATGCTGAAATGGTTGAGGGCATCTCCAGCTCGGCTTTGACCTTGTTCTTTTTTAAGCTCGTGAGCTCGGAGGCAGTGTGTGGGGGGTGTGTGGGGGGGGGGGGGGGAGAGTCAGACCCAGTGCGGAGGAGGGTGGGTTGGGGGGTGGGGAGGGGGTGGAGTGGGAGTTGGTGAGAGAGAGGGCGGCACTCACTCACTAAACAGGAGGGAACCGGAAAGGACACCAGTAGCTGAGAGAACACTGCCCAGGACTCCGAAGGGAAAACACAGGCAGATAGATTACAGGCAAACAAAGAGCAGACTGTGCGATCGGTCGGTCGGTTGTTCGGTCGGTCGGGAGACGTTGTCTTCTCAGGCTCTCAGGAGATAAAAGCCTGAATGAACCCTGTCATGTGAGCCACTGGCTAACTGATTGATTGTCCTCAGCCCGATCCCCTGGCTGGGCTGATCCCGGCATTAATGTAATCCTCGGCTCCTTGAGTCAGCCTGTGCCACGGCTTGTGCTTGAGGTGGCGGCTCGTAGCCTCCTCGACCGTCCCTCGTGCCCTCCCTTCTACCAGGGAGGGCGGCCGCGCTTTCAGCCACTACCCCCTGAAACTCTGGGAACGCTCTCCCTCCATCCCCCCGACTCGCCCGTTTCCTGCCCCATCTTCAGGTCGCGCCTGAAGACCTTCCTCTTCGACTGGACCTACGGTCACCTCCTCCTCCACCCCCTCCCTCCCCCTGTGCACCAGGCACTCTCCAGCGGTGGATGGCCTAACAATGCGTCTAATGTGTGAGATTCTCTCTGGCTCCGAGAGGGGGCGGAGGGATCGTTTCGGGGCGCAGGGGGCTGAGAGCGCGGCGGAGGGGATGAGGGAGATGTACAGGGCCAGAGCCGGCTGAGCGGGTGGGGTGGGGGGGGGGGGGGTGGGTAGCTTTGGAGTATGGACATAGGGGAAACAGGTTCAGATCTTACATTTGAACGCTACATTTGCTGGGACACATTTCGTCCGCGAACTAGGACGGATTATGGGTTAAGGAATTAGTGTATTCGGGGAGTGGGGGGAAGGAGGGTGGGGGTGGTGTGTTGACTGGCCTCAGTGCCCAGCTCTAGGCTGTTCTCGGGCTGGGTTCCCTGAGGCTTGTCTAATTAGAGCGCGGGTAATCAGCTCCCAGTATAAACCTCTTTGCCAAGCTGCCACTGATGAATTGCTTGCGACAGTCAGGAGCGCACTGGTAAATCCGGCCAGAGTGGACCTGCTGACACCAGCGATTCTGCGCTGGGCCCGAGAGAGCCGGGGTGGAGGCGTTGGGGGTGGAGGGGTTGGGGGTGGGGGTGTGGGGAAGGGGTCAGTCTCTTGGCTGTTCTTTTTCCACCCCTGCCCCGCTGGCTCTGCCTGAGTTAAGCTCACTTGGTACAGTCGATCCATATCCACCTCCCTCTCTCCGCCAACCAGCCCCCACACACTCACACACACACACACGCACTGACACACACTCTCACACACACACATCACACACACTCTTTAGTCTCTCCATCAACTGACGCTACAGACACACAATAACATCCCACAAACAGCCGTGAGCTGAATTGGTCAGTTTACCTGGAGGATTGTTGGGTCAAGAAACTGGGAGAAACTCCCTTCTCTTTTTCAGTAGTGTCGTGGGAGCTTTATAATGTCCACCTGACCAGGAAGATGGGATCTCGGTTTCAATGACAATAATAATGATAATAATGATAACAATCCTTACATTTGGTATCTTGCCTTCCACGCCGGAAGGACGTCCCAATGTGCTTCGCTGGATGTACTCTATAAAGCAATGTCCCACAAACAGCCGAGGAGTACGTTTAAGTGAATGATCAATTTTATCTGAGGGTTTGTTGGCCACGACACCGGACACTGGGAGAGAGAAACTCCCTTCTCTTTCCGAAGAGTGCTGTGCAACATTTAACATCCATCTCTACAGGTACAGGCAGAGCCTCGATTTAACATCTTATCCAAAGGACAGCACCTGCTCAAACACAGCCCCCCCCCCCACCCCCCCCACCCCTCCTCCTCCCCACTTGCACCACACTGACATTGCCAGAGATTGTTCAACACAAGGGGGAAAGGGACGGACAATGTTGAACCTGTCAACATAATGAATTATTCACGTGAACAGAGATGGTCCTGAATTATTAACGGCGGCAGGTGTGAGCGAGGGAGAGAGACGGGCAGAGTTACCAGCCCGAAATCGGCGCTGAGGCAATTAAACACAGACACGGGCAACACCTTATCCACTGGCTCAGCCTTTGAGCCGGCCTCAGGCGACATTGGCCACTCACTCACTCACTCGCTCGCTCCAAAACGCCGGTCCACCTCCTGTTGATGAGAGTACGGTTAACCCCAACGCGCCAACCCCAACCTCCCGGCACAGTCTTGGCTCATAATCTGAGAGCGTTGTTTTCTGGGACAAGTGGGAAGGTTTTGTGGTCAAACCTTTACGCTCGGCCAACAAAATACAGTTTCTTGATCGAGTATTTCTCGGTCGATAATAATGATAAACCTTGCATCGGGTACAGCGCCTGATCACGTCTTCGAGACGTCTCTCAAAGCGCTTCACGGCATATGCCGTGAAGTGGACCGACTGTATTATATTTTGTGGGCGAAACGTAGATGGACATGCGTCAAGGAATACTCCTTCCATCACGAAAAGTGACCGATCGAACGTGGACTTACCCAGGCTCGTGCGAGTGTTCGGGGCAGGCCGCTCTTTGAGGGGGTTCGGGAGCCTCAAGTTGGCCACCGCTGATGTAGACGTGGATGGAGCTTTGCTCCGTCCCCTGACCTGTGCTCCCCAACTCCCCTGGACACGTGGGGAACGGCTGCTGCCAGTCGGACATCGTTCACCGCGATGAGCATCATTAAACCAGGTTCCCCCTAACACAGAGTCCCGTTGAATATTATTTTAATGTTTATTCTTATTCACATTAATCAAAACGTAGGTCGTGGTCCAAACCGGGGTCAACCATTCTCAACCTGGGTGGTGTGGGTGCCCCCTGCTGGCCGATTCTGACATGGCAGGAGAACCCCAGAGAGATTCAGAGGGTCTGAGTCCGTGGGCAGTGTATGCCAGTGCCTGGGAAGGGGGAGGGGGTGCGGGGTGGGGGTGAGTGTGTGGGAGGAGCGTGTGAGTGTAACCCCCCCTCACCTCGCCTACCCCCCCCCCACCCACCCCCGCTCTGTTCTACCCCCTCCCCCGTCACAGCCGCTGTGTATTGGGGTTTGCCGCAGACGGGAGAGGAAACGAGGGTCTCAGCGAGAATCTGCTCCTGTTTTCCAGGGTTTGGATTTGTGACCTTCGAGAGCGAGGACATCGTAGAGAAAGTCTGCGAGATTCACTTCCACGAAATCAACAACAAAATGGTGAGGCGCAGTGTGGGGCCGGGGCATGTGGCTCCCGCGCGGGTGTGTTTATGCGGGTTCCTGTGTGTGGTTCCCGTGTGTGTGCGTGTGTGTGTGTGGGCGGGGATTGGGGTCTGTGAATGTGTGTGGTGGGGGGTGGGTTGTGTGTGTGTGTGCGCGTGTTTGGGGGTTCCTGTGTGTGGTTCCCAGGTGTGTGTGGGTGGGTGTGTGTGTGTGTGTGTGGGTGAATGGTGGGGTCTATGTATGTATGTGCGTGTGTGTGGGTGGGTTGTGTGTGTGTGTGTGTGGGGGGGTGGGGGCGGTGTTGGTGGTGGGGTCTGTATGTATGTGTGTGTGTTTGTGGGGAGGACCCTGTGTGTGTGTGGGGGGGTGTTAGGAGGTGTTGGCGTGGGGCCTGTGTGTGT